GCCATGGGAGGAGAGCTTTGTGGGGCAGTAGGCAAAGGAATATGCAAGTCATGGAAGAAAATCTTGAAGGGCTTGGATGAGACAGTTTCAAAAAGCAGGGTTGGCAAGTATTTCAAGTTGGATGCAAGAAAGAGCTGTTTCACTAAGGAGGTTAGAGCTGGCACTGCAACTTTTCTTACCATGGCATATATAATCAGTGTCAACGCCACCATCCTTTCGGAGTCCGGCGCCACGTGTACAGTCGCCGACTGCACCGTTCCGGCGAACCAAACGGTGGCAACCCCTGACTGCATGTTGAAGCCTAATGCAGGTTATGAAAGTTGCCTTGCAAAGGCGAAAAGTGATCTCGTTGTTGCTACTGCCTTGTCATCAATGATTGGATCTTTTGCTATGGGATTATTGGCTAATCTTCCCCTGGCTCTGGCCCCTGGTATGGGCCCCAATGCTTACTTGGTTTATACACTGGTGGGCTTTCATGGGTCTGGATCCATTTCATACAAGACTACCATGGCTGTGGTCTTGGTTGAAGGCTGCGCGTTTCTAGCCATAGCTGTTTTTGGGCTTCGTGCCAGGTTGGCTCGGTACATACCGCAGCCCGTGCGGCTGGCTTGTGCCGCTGGTATTGGTCTTTTTATTGCTTTTGTGGGGCTACAGGCCCACCAGGGTGTGGGCCTAGTGGGCCCTGATCCGAACACATTGGTGACCACGGCGGCCTGCGCCAGCACCGATTCGGTGACCGGAGAATGTATCGGAGGAAAAATGAGAAGCCCAACTTTCTGGCTCGGCTCGGTTGGCTTCATAATCACATGTTATGGACTAATGAAGGAGATTAAGGGAAGCATGATTTATGGCATACTGTTTGTCACATTGATTTCATGGATTAGGGGAACATCTGTCACATTTTTCCCTAACACCCCACTAGGTGACACAAATTATCAATATTTCAAGAAAGTGGTAGATTTTCACACCATAAAGTCCACAGCTGGGGCCATCAGCTTCACAAATTTCAATAGGGGTGAAGTTTGGGTAGCTTTAGTCACGTTGTTATATGTTGATGTGCTAGCTACAACCGGTACATTGTACACTATGGCAGAAGTTGGAGGATTTGTTGATGAAGAAGGGGAATTTGAGGGGGAATATTTGGCCTACATGGTTGATGCTGGCTCTACAATTGTTGGTTCTGCCCTAGGAGTTTCACCAATTGCAACATACATAGAATCATCAGCTGGCCTAAGGGAAGGTGGGAGAACAGGGATAACAGCTTTGGTTGTGGGATTTTACTTTGCATTGTCCCTGTTTTTTACCCCTCTATTTACCAGTGTACCGCCATGGGCTGTTGGTCCATCTCTAGTAATGGTTGGTGTAATGATGATGAAAGTTGTGAAAGATATAGATTGGAATAACATCAAGGAGGCAGTGCCAGCTTTTGTTACCATGCTTCTCATGCCTCTTACATATTCCATATCAAATGGGATTATTGCAGGGATTGGCTTGCATATTGCGCTTGGATTGTATGACCATGTGGTTGGCTGGATCAGGTGGTTGATCAAGATGAGAGCAATGGTGGTCAAGGAGCAAAACCAAGTTTCTGCAGCTGCTGCAGAGCAAAATCTTGAAGTTATCTGACATGCATTGTCAGAACTGGTGCACAAACCACCTTGAGCGGTCACAATCTTTAGCGGTCACAATCTCTAGATCCATCATAGAATAGACTGGCCTTTCAAGGGCGTTTGTGCATTTTCTTTGTCTAGTTGTCGAAGTTGGTTCCAATTTTCTGTTTTTTCAGTCCTCAATGTTTCTGTCCGGGTAGAAGTTAAGGATTGACATTAGGATTTCAACTAGAAATCTGTCTTTTGCATACTTTTCATTATTTATCTATTTTGCGTTCCAAGGACAACAGACAAAAAAAAAAAGAATCAATCAACTTTGCAAGAAGTGTCATCTCCTACAGCAAATGTACATGGTTAGCATAATCCTTTACACAAGTGGACTTCAATTTGTATCAGATAGGCTATAGAAAGTTATCTGTCAAAATAAATAAATCCATTGGCATCAAGCAGATCACTGAAATAGCTAACATATAATGTTCATATTTGTAGCTTTGCAATGGTTGATCCTCAACCTTATTAATTTCTATCATGGACTTCCAACGAACACAACTAAGGACTGGTTTGGAACTGCAGTGACTTATTGAAAGGTATTTCCCTAACAAGGCTTTTAATAAAAGTGCTTATTGAGTGCTTAAATGTTTTTAAATATATTATTTGGAAACATAATTAAATAAATACTTATTGTATTTGATAATGAGTAATTTAAAATTTTAAAATATATTTATTTAGTTCATAATATAGGACAAAAATGATTAAATTTAATATTTTATTTTTTAAATCACAAAAGTTGCTCTAAAAGCACCAAATTTAAGCTTTTACTAAAAGTGCTTTTAATACCAGAAATTTCTCTTTTAATTTTATGGGATGATATTTCCTCGACAACTTCAAAGTACCTTTAATATATAAATGTGTTTTTTTATCAACAACGCCGCAACCCAAACGGGTCTAAGTCATGTATCCATTGACCCTTTACTTTCTAGATACTAGTGGAGTGGCAATTTCCGACACGATCTGAAAACACGACACGAATCTAACACGAAATTAATGGGTTTGGGGTGAGGTTTTGTGGGTTCAGGTCAGAATCGGGTCGAACCCGATGAATCCAAAAGGAAAACGGGTCCAATTCGGATCAACTCGTGGGTGACCCGATAACCCGTTTATGAATTAAATATAATTTAATAAACATAAAAATTATTTTATCTAACTAAACTAAATTATTCTTTTTTTCCAAAGGCATTAATTACTTAATCCTAAATGAATTTATTTAACTTGTGTGCAGTTGAAATTATTATATTTGGACAAATAATGTATTATATTATTTTTTACTTTTATACTGTTTTAATTTATTTTATATTTGGTTTGGGATAAAACACTTTTACGGTGTTTTAATTTATTTTAGATTTGGTTTGGGATTATTTATTTAAATTTTTATTACTTGATTATGTAATTAGTCTTGTGCGAAATTGGTTTTATTAGAAATTACAGTGATAAATTAAAAAATTAAAATTAATTTTCAGGTCATTTCGGGTCAACCCGCGAACCCGAAATTTTCAGGTTCGAGTCAGCTCTCCTGACTAGGGATGGCAACGGGGCGGGGGACCCCTCCCCCATCCCCCGCCCCGCTACCTACAAACTCCCCCCGCCCCCCGCCCCATCCCCCGCCTCCCACTCCCCCCGCCCGCCCCCGCCACGCCCCGCTTCCCCCGCGGGTGCACCCGCGGGGTTAATAAAATTTTTTCCGTTGGGTTAATAAAATTTTATTATAGTTAAATTTTAATAAATAATCAAGTACTAAAATATCAACACATCATCAAGTTATTATTCATTTTAATTTTACAATTGAAACTCATAAAAACAATGAAACAAAAATTATTTGAATACAATCCAACATGATGAAATAAATACAATTAAAATAGTTAAGTTTTCACTTTTGGTACAAATATAATCACTAATTCATTATTGTGTTTGTACTTTTTTTTTTGAGAAAAAAGTGTTATTCTATTAAGTGTAATTAGAAATTTAGTATAAATGTATTAGTAAATTTAGTATAACTAATTAATAAATTCTATTAGTAGACATGTCTAATTATTCGTATAATTGATAATATTAATTATATTACATACACTAATATACATTATATAATACATCTAACTAATAATATCATTATCATAAGTTTATAACTAATTAAATTACATATTATATATAATTATATATATATATATATATTTTTTTTTTTTTTTTGCGGGTGGCGGGGCGGGGGATGCTCCCCCGCCCCCCGCCCCCGCCCCATCCCCCGCCCCGAGAGCCCCCCGCGGGGCGGTTGCCCGCGGGCACCCGCCCCCAATGCAATCCCTACTCCTGACCCCGTTTCGGGTTGGCGGGTCAGGTTCGGGTCAGCGAATTTTTTGTTATACCTGGATCTCAACTAGACCCGCCAACCCGATTGCCACCCCTAGATACTACCCACTTTATCTGGTAGATTAGTCTTGTTGCATAACCTGAACTAGTTCACACATTCACACACTGCACTGTATCATTATTGCACATGATCAAGGCTCCTTTGCAATTTAACTCTTTGGGATACTATCAGAAACCTCCCTTGGGGTTTCTTTTAATATCACTTAGCACCCTTGAGATTTTAGAAATATCACTTACCTCCCTTAATAATTGTAAAAAGACTATATTAACCCTCACTTGGCACATAATTCATAACATATCAAATAAATGGAGCTCAAAAATTGAAAAAAAAAAAGAAACGAAAGTCACTTTCTTGTTTATCCCTTTTCTCCATCGTTCTCTCTTACTCATATTTTTTGGATGACTATGCAATATTTTATTTGTAAATTACAATAAACTAAATTTTGTTTATCTTTTACTTTTTGTGATTGTGATAAAATAGGGTATGATTTATTTGCTTATTTTAAATTGACTTTTATAATGATTGGTACAATTTAATAGTTTGAACAAGGGTTGAAAAGATGTTGTAAAAAAATAGAAATTCATAAGAAATCAATTCTGAGCATATATAATAAAATTGATGCAAATGTATTTCTTTTCAAATATCATTTTTATTTTTCAAATTTACAGTTTTATGGAGTATAGCATGTGATGTGGTGGTACTACAAGAGACTGTTTTTGAGGTGATAGTTTTCTTGAAGTGAACAAAGTGATATAGGAATATTTTTATTTAGCAAGTGAAAGGGTAGCTTAGGATTTTTAAAAATTTTGGTGCATAAATAACAAAAGTAAGGAAGACAAGTGATATTTTTAAAACCATAGGAGTGATAGGTGATATTAAAAGAAACCTCAGGGGAGGTTTCTGATATTATCCCTAACTTATTTGGCCATACAACTGATGATGTGGCTGGGCTTTAGACCGTCAAACAAGTTCAAGCACTTAGCTCAACAGCATGGCACCTCAGATTCACAATCCTAGCCAACTCTTTAATAATTTTCATTATTTTTGCAGATCTGCTAGATTGCCGAGGACTCTTGCCTTAATTTTCAGAATTCAGAGACTCCACATCTCCATTCATCGAGAAGCAGATCACCTAGCATCTTAGGGTAACATGTACGCTCACTTTACCAGCAATTCAACTGTTGCTTGTGCTCAACCACCTCCTCGTTCGGCAGCTTCAAGTTGGGATAGATACAAGATCTTGTGTATCTCGTCTCTTTGTAAGTAAATATCTGTATTATCCTAGAAGCTTTCCCTAATCAGTCTTCAGACCAGGAATGTTCATTTGCAATAGATGATAAGCTGGAGACAACAGTCCTGTTCTCTCTATCTTATAGAGACTAGAGTCTATAAAAATTGCAATCTATGAGATAGAGACAACAGTCTTGTTGCACAGTTGCATATAGAAGAGGAACCAAACTTTTAGGAACAATTTTTCCAAACATAAAACCTCAAGCCAGAAAATATCTAGCAAAATAGTTAAGTGCGAGTAACGCATGAAATCATTAGCACCCAGAAACTGATGGAGGACAAGAAGCGAGCAGGCAAAACAAGCATACATCTCCAAACTATGGACGATCTTTGCAACAAAAGACATCAGTAAACATTCCACTAGCTATTTACATAAGGGTTCTGTTATCCAAGCCTAGGCTACTTAATAATGTGATTCAATTAAGTCACAGCTGGAAACTTCATACTACTGTCTACAAAATAGCTCATGCATGCTGAAGCCGAGCACTTTTTAATCCAAACATGAGGATTAGTCGCCTCTTACTGGTGAAGAACACTGACTTTGTATATGCCCCGGTATACATGTTCAGCTTGAAAAATATAATGATCTCCAGCTTGAATGCGATGTTCTTTGTTAAACTTATCCCAACAACCTGTCAAAACATGAAAACCTGATCTGTAATAATAGAGAGCTGGCCAGAATCTTTTCTCCTGATCTTGAAGCAAGACAGACTTCCTGTCCATCCCCTTTCTGTATGTAATTCCCGGCAACTTTGCTGGTAACTCCTACACAAGCATGAGGTGGCAGAGAATTTGAAAAAGGAAAAGGAAAAGAAAAGCACATTAATTCACAAAACATGCTCTTGTGCAAAACACCACCACATATCTGTTCTCTTGATGTCCTCATTAATCCCAAGTCCTTAATAAATGACAGATTGGAAGCAAAAGATATCGAATTGCATAGTGTGCACTGCAGATAATGAAGCACATACGTCCCTGTTCATGTCCCTTGCCATAGCCATTTGTGTTGCTGACAAACATTCCAAACTTTACATCTTTCTAACACAGAACCCAACCAGGTCAAACCATGACCCTTGTGCATGAATTTGGGTCATGCTTTCGGGGTCATGGGAAAGCAGCAACAAAGTATCCCAAAGTAACCTAATCACATGAAATTTATTAATCCTTTTGTTTCCTCTATTTTGATCCTTTTTCGATGCAGTTGCTTGGTGCCATCCCCTGAAAGCTATGGCTATTATCTCTCTAGATAACCTTTCCATCGTCATAAGCTTCTTCTCAGTTGTTGAAAAGAATATTACGGTTTGTACTTTGCTGTGTGAACTAAAATCTTATTGCACGTTTCTTCTTGATTACAAACCCCAAGTTTTGACAAGGAATAATGCAAATTCTCTTCCTTTTGCACATCCTCCAGTTTCAAATGTAATGAAAGCTTAAAACATACCAATTCCTTTTACTCTTGTTTCTGGATAAGGTAACCAATCTAAGCTCAGCTAAAACTTGACAAGCTGCACTCATATGACGTACTTATTTGACCCATTTGGCTTCTTCATCGAGAGAAAGAAATGATCATATTTTTCCCCTTGTTTCTTCTCTATCTGTACTATTACCTAATAGTCTTCTTGAATCTCAACTTCATTTAGAAAACTATCATTGCATTCCATTTACAGTTTATTCTACTACCTCACAATTTCCTAATCTACCATCAAGCAAGAAAAACAAGTCAATTCATACACATAACAAAGACATAAATACATACCCAAAGCCATAAAAAATAAAATGACATTATTGTCTTATCTCTTTATTTATTTATTTATTTTGGGGAGGAGGCGGTAGCATGACAGGAAGTGATGCAATCTGATTTGCATAAAAGTTGTCTAAAGAGATTGAATAAATAAGAGAAAATACTTCTCATGTAACAAAGACGACAAATTTGTGCAGGGAATGAATCAAAGCTTAGAAGATTAAGAACAAAAGGTGTTGAAAGAAGGTACAAGGTAAGGTCGGCCATCCATCATTGCCAAACAAGTGAGACTCTCAGTAACTGATGAAGGAATATCAAGTAAATCAACTGGCTCAAGTTTCACAGGTTTGCACACACAAGGACCTTGAGAGGAACTACCAATCTCCTTTATGCTCAATGGCTTCAAACCTGCATTTGGGTACTAACATATCAAGTAGAAAGCTGCCAATGCCAAGGTTAATTGGCGCTGAGAAGCATTTACATGCACAAAGAACAATCCAGGTATTAGTCAAAATCAATTAAATGCAAAAGGAAAAATCATACCTCTTAACCTCTTAGCAGAAGAATCCCCTTCCTCTCTTGTATCCGGATGCTCTTTTCTCACCATTTTCTTTGTTTCACCTGTGAGTAAAACCAAGCAATATAAGAAGCAAAGAAACTTGTTCTACAAACACATCAGAGGCATTATTTGACAGGCCGCAAAGCAGCATGTGCACAGATGTCACTTATATATATTGTAGTTTATGGTTGTATATATTAATTCTGTATACATTGTGACCCATCAGCCTTTGGCAAGAAGTTCACAAAACAATGTGTTACTAATGCAATCGGAGCAACCAATATTGTTCCATTCAGTTAAAAAAAAACAGTATTAAAACAAAATAAACAAAACAAGAATATAACTGTTAACAGGTATCTTGGGAGGAAACATCTAGTCACATATTATGAGTGACCAACTAGTATTTATAGGAGTACAACCCTAACAAACTATTTACAAAAATACCCTTACTAATTTATTATCTACAAGAATACTTATATTCTCTTAACACTCCCCCTCAAGTTGGAGCATATATATCATAAGGACGAGGGACAAGATCCCAAGTACCATTTTTCTCCAAAGCAAGCATCTCTTCCTGCATAGCTAACCTCCAACCAGGATCATTGAGAGCATGGGTAATAGACTTAGGAATGGATACCGAATCAAGAGATGCAACAAAAGAAGAATATGACAGAGAGAGACGAGAATAAGAGACAAAATTAGAAATAGGATGAGAAGTACAATGTCTCTTACCTTTACGTAAAGCAATAGGAAGATCTGACTCACAAGAGGGCGTCATACCTGGATCTGAAGATTGAGAGTTAATTGGTGAAGTGCGTAGCATATCAGGAGCTTTCTCAACCATGGAACGACGAGAATAAACTTGAAGATTAGGATGAGATAATCGAGTGGTGGAATCTGGTGAACCCGATAACTCAGGTAATAAAGATGAAGGGACTGGTAAAACAGGAGGAGAAAAAGAGGAACACTGGTCTAACTCACAAGACATACCTTGCTTCATAAAATAAGGAGTGGATTCAAAGAAAGTAACATCAGCACAAGTGAAAAAACGATTTAAAACTGGACTGTAACATCTATACCCCTTTTGCGCTCGTGCGTATCCTAAGAAAATACACTTAATGGCACGAGAATCTAATTTATCCACCCCGGGAGCAAGCTGATGAACAAAACACACACAACCAAAAATACGAGGAGGTAATTTAAATATAGGGTCCTGAGGAAAAAGAATGGAGTGAGGTAGTTGGCCTCCAAGAATATCGGATGGCATGCGATTAATTAAATAACATGCAGTTAAAACTGCATCACTCCAAAATTGTTTGGGTACATTCATGTGCAACAAAAGTGTCCGAGCAACTTCGATTAAATGTCCAATTTTTCTTTCAGCAACTCCATTCTGTTGTGGAGTGTGAGGACAAGAGGACTGATGAAGAATACCGGACTTAGTCATAAAGGTATCAAAAGGAGTGGAAAAATATTCTTTCGCATTATCACTGCGAAGTATACGTACAGGCACACCAAATTGAGTCTTTATTTCTGTAACAAATGCACAAAAAATGGAATATAATTCTGAACGATCTTTCATTAAATAAAGCCATGTAACTCTGGAAAAATCATCAACAAAGATTACAAAATATTTAAAACCTAACTTTGAAGTTACTCGACTAGGACCCCAAACATCAGAATGAACTAACAAAAAGGGTTCCGAAACCCGTTTATTGACCCTAGGGACAAAAGAAACACGATGATGCTTTCCTAATTGACAAGACTCACATTCTAATGAAGACAACTGACTCAAGGTAGGGACCAACTTCTTCAAATTTTGTAGAGACGGATGACCCAAACGACAGTGAATTTCAAGAGGAGAAACAGTAGCAGGGCACGCAATCGGACCATTAGAGTTGAGAAAGTAAAGACCATTATGCTCATGTCCTCCACCAATCGTCCTCTTTGTCTTCAAATCCTGAATGACAACAAAATCAGGAGAAAAAATAACTGAACACTGTAGAGATTTAGTAAGCTTACTAACGGACATTAGATTAAAAGGCAAACTGGGAACGTAAAGAACAGAAGGCAGCGGAAGAGATGAGTTAATTTCTACAGTGCCTAGTCCTTTAACTTTAGTTGTAGATCCATCAGCTAAAGTAACATGAGGGAAGGAAGTAGACTCTTGAAAATTAGAAAAATTGCTAGAGGTACCTGACATATGATCAGTAGCTCCGGAATCAATGATCCATGAGTCAAAATTAGATGATGTGGAGAGACAAGCCATAGCATTACCTTTTTGTGCTACAGAAGTAGAGGGAAGAGATGCGTGATTTGCAGTTTGGTACTGCAGAAATTTGATATAATCTTCCTCAGATATGGTAACAGTCTTCTGAGACCCTTGTGCTAAAGAACTTGATTCAGTTTGATCAGTGGTAACCGTATTAACAAACCGAGGTGGTTTTCCATTTAAATCCCAACAAGTATCACGAGTGTGATTCTTTAAACCACAATGATTGCACTCACGGGTGCCTCGACCTCCACGACCCCCACGACCTCCTCTACTTCTTCCTCCACGAGAGCCACGTCCAAAATTAAGTTGCTCTGTCCGATTATTGTTAGCAATTAAAGCAGATTTGTCATTAATTAAAGCACCATCACCCTGTGCATTGTCCTTAGATGCAGAACGTAAGACCCGAGCATACGCCTCTGCAAAGGATGGTAATTGTTCACCTGCTAAAAATTTGAGATTTGATTGGTTCAAATTCCGGCTTGAGACCAGCCAGGAATTTGAGCACAAGCATGTGTTCTCTTTGCCTCTGCATAACCTTGATATCACTTGAGAGAGGCATTACAGCATTTAATTCCTCTGAGACTCGCTTAAGATCAGCAAAGTATTCAGTTACTGTCTTGTTATCTTGTTGCAACTGAAAATACTCCAAAGAAATATCAAACATCCGTGAGAGATTACTGCAATATAATAACCGGACATAATCCCAAACTTCTTTTGTTGTCTCACAATGAGAACACATGTAAGCAATTCGTGGCTCCATAGAATTCCATATTGCTCCAAGAATTTGGGCATCCTCTTGAATCCACATTAGTTTCTTGCTATCCTCCGTAGGAGAGTCATCTGTGAGATAACGTTGCTTTCCTAAGCCTGTCAGATAAATCTTAACAGCTTTTGACCACTGTTGATAATTGGTATCATTCAACTTCCAATTTGTGATTTGAGGCATCACCATTGGCATAATATTAGTGGACGTCACAATACTTTTTGATAAACTTTCAGCCATAGCGAATAGCACTTCAAACCCAAGAAAGGGTCAAAACTCGAGACGCGTGAACAGTACGCGTGAACAGTGCGGGCGTGAACAGTGCCGCGATAAACAGTGCGGCGTGAACAGTACTTTGCTAGATGTTTAACCTAAACCCTAGGACTCTTGCTCTGATACCATGTAAAGAGGTATCTTGGGAGGAAAACATCTAGTCACCGTAGATATGCAGCAGGTGCATCACAGGGAGCGGTGCCTGGTAGCATGAGAGGAGGAAGCAACGCGAACATGATGCGGAAGAAAGGAGGGGAAGAGTCGAGCAGCAAGACCACCTCGTGGGTGCCGGACCCCGTGACCGGATATTACAGGCCTGAGACACACGCCGCCGAGATTGATGTTGCGGAGCTCCGCAGCATCAATCTCGGCGGCGTGTGTCTCAGGCCTGTAATATCCGGTCACGGGGTCCGGCACCCACGAGGTGGTCTTGCTGTTCAAAGAAAGTAACATCAGCACAAGTAAAAAATCGATTTAAAACTGGACTGTAACATCTATACCCTTTTTGCGCTCGTGCATATCCTAAGAAAATACACTTAATAGCACGAGAATCTAATTTATCCACCCCGGGAGCAAGCTGATGAACAAAGCACACACATCCAAAAATACGAGGAGGCAATTTAAACACAGGTTCATGAGGAAAAAGAATGGAGTAAGGTAATTGACCTCCAAGAATATTAGATGGCATGCGATTAATTAAATAACATGCTGTTAGAACTGCATCACTCCAAAATTGTTTGGGCACATTCATGTGCAACAAAAGTGTCCGAGCAACTTCGATTAAATGTCCAATTTTTCTTTCAGCAACTCCATTCTGTTGTGGAGTGTGAGGACAAGAGGACTGATGAAGAATACCGGACTTAGTCATAAAGGTATCAAAAGGAGTGGAAAAATATTGAAGTGACTCGACTAGGACCCCAAACATCAGAATGAACTAACAAAAATGGTTCAGAAACCCGTTTATTGACTCTAGGAGCAAAAGAAACACGATGATGCTTTCCTAACTGACAAGACTCACACTCTAACGAAGATAATTGACTCAAAGTAGGAACCAATTTTTTCAAATTTTGTAAAGACGGATGACCTAAACGACAGTGAATTTCAAGAGGAGAAACAGTAGCAGGACATGCTATCGGACCATTGAAGTTGAGAAAATAAAGACCATTATGCTCATGCCCTCCACCAATCGTCCTCTTTGTCTTCAAATCCTGAATGACAACAGAATCAGGAGAAAAAGTAACTGTACACTGTAGAAATTTAGTGAGCTTACTAACAGACATTAGATTAAAGGGCAAATTGGGTACGTAAAGAACAGAAGACAGCGGAAGTGATGGATTAATTTCTACAGTGCCTAGTCCTTTAACTTCAGTGGTAGATCCATCAGCTAAAGTAACATGAGGATATGGAGTAGACTCTTGAAAATTAGAAAAAATTTTAGAGGTACCTGACATATGATCAGTAGCCCCGGAGTCAATAATCCATGAGTCATTATCTTTTTGTGCTAAAGAAGCAGAGGGAAGAGATGCGTGATTTGTAATTTGGTACTGTAGGAATTTAACATAATCCTCCTCAGATATAGTAACAGTCTTCTGGGACCCATGTGCTGAAAAACTCGATTCAATGTGGTCATTGGTAACCGCATTAACAAACCTTTCAATCATGGCGAATGGCACATCAAACCAAAGAAAAGGTCAAAACTCAAGATGACAGTGACGTGTGAACAGTGCCGTGAACAGTGAACAGCGCCGCGCGAACAGTGCTGTGAACAGTACCGATGAACAGTACCGATGAACAGTGCCCCCGCGTGAACAGTCGCGGTGAACAGTATCGCGTGAACAGTCACGATGACCAAAACTTTTGCTAGATGTTTAACCCTAACCCTAGGACTTTTGCTCTGATACCATGTTAACAGGTATCTTGGGAGGAAACATCTAGTCACATATTATGAGTGACCAACTAGTATTTATAGGAGTACAACCCTAACAAACTATTTACAAAAATACCCTTACTAATTTATTATCTACAAGAATACTTATATTCTCTTAACAATAACATACAATTCTATCCAAAGCACACTTAAACCAATATGAAAATGACAGCAATTTATGGGGTAGGGCTGTAAATGGTCATGCTCTAGATTCAGATATATATCCTATTATGCACACACATACATCTAAGCGGCACATAGAGCTTATACTTGTATTAAAATGCATATATGCAGTTTATTTAGTTAAAAAGTAACTTTAAACATAAACAAAAAAATTTGTTCTTACAACTTTACCATTTACAAAAAGCATAAAGAAGAGCTTAAATTGAGCAATAACAATCAGACATGGTCACGGAAATGGCTGGTAAAATCCAAATCCCAACCATGAGAAGCGTAGGTGGGGGAGAAAGCACCGAGTCAGTGAAGGGTCAGAAATAACAAGAGGAAGAGATAGTGGACAAGCATGGGACACAGACAGAAACAGGTTGGGGTTTGTTACTGCAGCCATGAGAGAGAGAGAGAGAGAGAGAGAGAGAGAGAGAGAGAGAGAGGGAGGGAGGGAGTTCGTGTTTGCTGTCAGTTGTTAAGAAAAAGAAAAGGGATAGAGAAAGGGCAGCAAGCAGCAAGGGCATATCTGGTAAAGCTGTCTGTAAGAGGTCTCCAATTTCCCAAAAAAAGGTGATTTGAGCACTAAGGGATTGGCAATTTAGTGTGGAGGGGAATGATACGGCACCATCAACATGCACCTAAGGTTTGTTAGAACCTAAAATTGAGGTACAAATCAATAACGTGCCAAAAACCATGGGTCTCTGGACATTCATTCAGCTGTTCATCTTCTGCTTAAGTATATTTTTCATAGAATCTCACTGCCAAAGGGTATCAGTTAGCACCTCAGAGCTATGCAACATGGAAGCAGTAAGAGGGAAAAGTGGTCCACATGGAAGGAATAAGCAAAAAATTAGTACCAAGCACTGAAAGGGATAGAGAGCCATGACATAAGAATATACCTGCAAATTCCTCTTGACTGTCTCTGAAGCAAGCTCCTTCATCAGCATATGGGGAACTCCAATCAACATCTAACACGTTACAAGATTATATTTAAGGTAAGATAGACGAAGCGAATACAACTTCAATGGAGATCATATACAATACTTGTAGAAATAGAGAGAAAAAGACAGTAACTAACCGTATTTCTTGTTGCTCCTCTCAGCATTCTGGAGTTGGATATACACATTTGACATGTTACCACCTTTTTCACCAAGTTCTGGACAAAGAACCGTTGGAAGGCTATTAGAGCGGTCAGCCAAGGGAACTTTTTCACATTCAAGTAATATAGCATCCTTGCTTCCCAAATTATAGTCATTCACCAGCATGCCAATATCAGTCTCCTCTGTAAAAGTAGCTGTTTCCAAATCTTTAGTTCTTGTTGGATCTTTATCAGCCCCATCTTGACATCTCAAGCTTACCTCTCTGTGGTCAGAAGTTCCTTCTACTGCATTTATACCTCTATCAGAGTCATGCTCAGGTAACATATCATCCTTAGCTTCCAAGTTGTTGTCATTCACCATAATGCCAATATCTGTCTCCTCTGTAAAAGTAGCTATCTTCAAATCCTCAGTTCCTGGTGGATCTTTATCTGCTCCATCTTGACATCTCAAGCTTGTCTGAGAGTGGTCAGAAGAACCTTGTACTGCATCAATACCTTTATCAGTGTCACATTTCAGCAACATACCATCCTCAGGTTTCAACTCATCGTAATTCACCATCATGCCAATACCGTGGTCAGAAGTTCCTTGTACTGCATTTATTCCTCTATCAGAGTCACGCTCAGATAACATATCATCCTCAGCTTCCAAGTTGTTGACATTCACCATCATGCCAATATCTGTCTCCTCTGTAATAGTAGCTATCTTCAAATCCTCAGCTCCTGTTGGATCTTTATCTGCCCCATCTTGACATCTCAAGCTTGTCTGAGAGTGGCCAGAAGAACCTTGTACTGCATCAATACCTTTATCAGTGTCACATTTAAGCAACATACCATCCTCAGGTTTCAAGTCGTCATCATTCACCATCACGCCAATATCATTCTCCTCTGTAAAAGTAGCTAACTTCAAATCCTCGGGTCCTGTTGGATCTTTATCAGCCCCATTTTGACATCTCAGGCTTGTCTGAGTGTGTTCAGACGTACCTTGTACTGCATCTATCCCTTTATCAGTATCACGTTCAAGCAACATATCACCCTTGGCTTCCAAGTCCTTTTCATTCACCATCATTCCCATATCAGTCTCCTCCGTAAAAGTAGCCATCTTCAAATCCTTGGTTCCAACCTTGGTTCCTGTTGGATCTTTATCTGCCTCATCTTGGGATCTCATGCTTGTCTGAGTGTGGCCAGAAGTACTTTGTACTGCATCTATACCTTTATCAGTGTCAGCAACTTCCTTATCTCCCTGCAATTCAAACTCAGACAAATCATACAAACACATCCTCCTTTCACCCGGTCCAGGCCCAGCATCCCAGTCTATCATCATATCAAAGGAACTGTCCAAGAAGGACCAATTTCCATTGCCACCTTCAGCATTTAGAGTGCTATTTGTGGTGGTTGGTAGGATGTGGTTGTTTTTGGAGTTTGATCCAGACACGCCTGAGGTGCTCGAATTCTGTCTGTTGATTGGGTTGGTATCTATTTTCTCACAAGGTTTACCCCCAGAGGATATACTCCCTCTGGTTCGAGCTCTTTTACGTGGCAAGCCAATTTTATCAGATGCTCTTTCACAACAGCTTTTGTCAAAAATATAAACAACAAAGTGAGTTCCCTTGATATAATTGAATAACAAAAAGTCTCCAGCTTGCAAATTATGATCTAATGAAAACTCCGGCCAACCCCTACTGAAAGCAAGTGAATTCTTAACAAGCGACAATGTTACTGTCCATTGCACACCATTTGAGTCCTCAAGTTTGGTTTCTTGATTAGCCAAATACATCACTGTATCAGCAAATTTACGGGGCAATAACTGTCAAAGAGTAGCGAATATTAGGAACAATGGAAATCTTCAAGAATATTTTGAGTTTGCAAATGCCAGACTGGTGAAATAATATATATTCAACACTGTAAAAGAGATAAAAGGTACATTGACATGGTAAAACATATGCATAAACTAAGTACTAATTTGAAAGATGCACATATGTTCTTTTAGGTCCACAACGTAAGTAAGTCTGTTACTGATAATAAGAAACTTTCTACACCAGACCCTGATTTGAACCCAGGTACATAAAAATCAAATAACGGAATTTACCAAGGAAATGAAAAAAGGCTCAAACAAATAATTCACTGTAACTAAGAAACATACTCTAGAGGCACAAAACCTCGACTCTCACTTTCCTTATCTCCTCTACAAGAAAATTTCTTGCTGTCATGTTTCAAGCTTAATCTTCTTAGCGGAGTTTACACGCTATTGTTCAAACATTTGAAACTTGAGTCACTCATCCACTTCATCTCATCCATATGTTTTAGGCAGTCTCATCGCTATGATAACGACTTTTCTCCACCTAATAGAGAATAAAGGCGCAACTAAAAGCAAGCAGCAAAAGGAAGTTGCAAAACCAACAAAGGACCTAAAACTGTTGTTAGTAAATGATCAATACAAATGCAGCATTGTGAAACTGCTTTATAATCTTTTAGCCAAAAATGCCATGTGTTGCTGCCTATGGAAATGTGATATTGTAAGACCTGGTAAAAAAAAAAAAAAACTAGAGAAAATAATTGCACTTATACAGGAATGCAAAAACTTCCTTGTAATAAAAGTAAAAGTTAATAAATTACCATATCTTAGACTCCTGTTCTGAATACTTAGGAACGACATGAATGAGTATATAAGCAAAACACAAACTGCTTAGTCACTTTAGTTAGAATTAGAGCCTTCAAAATTGCAGTCAGCAGGAAATAATCCTCAACATCTTCTCTTAGATGGTCAAAGACATGACTAGTTCAGTATCCGACTTGATAAATTATTAAATAAAAAAACTAAATAAACATTATAAAATTGTCAGATGCCTAGAGAATGCATGATCATTGATGCCATTTAACAGATCCACAATGAACTAGCATTAAAAAGGATTATACTCAAGTGTGCTCCATTAAGTGTATATAATATCAGACTTAGTTAAAGCTCCAAGGAACAGGAAGACAGTTAAGGACCATAAGGGGCACTAGAAAAGTTTTTCCATAATAAGCACAAACACCCTGAGGCTATGAATAATAGGAGGCTCCCAAGAGAAGTCCTCAATTAGACCTTCATCCTTACAGAAACTTGGGGGTCTCTCTCCTCGTTTGTGGTTCACCAAGAAGGTGAAAACTAATGAAAACTGCAACCAGACAGAGCTTAGAGACCATAGCAAGTAGTAAGCACTTTTTTGTTCAAAGATGTCAAGGTAAAATGAAAGTTACTGCCATACTTTCATTGGATTGTCAGCTCTGGAGACCTAAACTGGCATAAGCTTTTACAATTCATAATAGACAGATCGAATCAATTACCTAAAAGCAAATTGATACTATAAATTGGTATTCTACCCGTACAGAAAGCTTCTGATGAATAAAACTGAAGCTTCTGATGAATAAACTGAAGCTTTTGATGAATAAAACTGTGAAAGTAATTGAAAGAGTCAAAATTATACGAAACAAACTTGAGAAAGGAAAATGGAACAGAAAGGGTTCAATTTTCCACTTCCCACTAATATCCTTTGGTATGCTTTTGGCTTTGTTTTAATGCCATATACCTTGCAAATTATTAGCTAGTATCATGGTAAAACAATTCAATGTGTTTGCACAATAGTGTAAACCAAAATTTGAGACATAGCTTCATCATAAAACTGCAATCTCCATGAAAGAATTTCCATTCCCAGGCCCCCATATTTGCGCCACCCTCATCCATATTTAGGGAATACATATGCAGACAGAAACACATTTACCATTTGGAGCTAATACAACATCATTTGTAACTCAATTTTTGGACCACCAAAACTGGAAAAACAAACACGATAATTCAAAGCTAAAAGTGAATGACCATACAAAAGTGTTAAACTTATTACTTTACATACCAGAAACTGTGAAAAATCATCCCCAACCAAGACTTTGAAAAAACGGGTCACACTGGGTGATAAATCCATCTTGTTACGATGAGTCAACTGACAATTCCTGATGCACTCTTCACATGCTCCCGCCATTACAACCATCTCTCTTTCCTGTTCTCTGCACTCACAACACGTACAAACACACACACACACACAGAAGATCACATAATTGATATGCCACAATAATCCAGCAAGTACATAACTTAACAAAAATATACTTGTGAATAAACCAATCCCAGATACAAAATTTAAGTTCTAAACCCCCCCCCCCAAAAAAAAAAAAAAAAGCCACCTCTCACGCAAAACGAACAAAAAGTATAACGAAAGGAAATCACAGCAATAAAGATTGAATTATTACCATACTCAGCCGAGAATTCACAGGGATAACATACAATACCAATAATAAGGCCACCAAAAAGAATGAAGTATGAAAACGGGGATTAAAAACCCAAAAAAAGTTTTAAAAAATAACAAATAAATTAAAAGGCTCCCACCTAAAACCCTTCACCTTCATCAGGGTTTAACAATTAACACTCCACACCATTGACAGAGACTAAATGTTTTAACCTTAGAGATGATAAATTACTCAGATAGCAGGCATTTTACCAGCTACATATATAAAAATCAAATTAATTAGAAACCCAAAAGACACATAATTCAAAACACTTCGCTTTCAGGGTTTAAAATTTAACTTTCTCTGGACCCAGGTGAAAAGTTTGAACTTTTACCCCACGCAACAAAGAAATCACATAGAGAAAGAAAACGTGTATTCTGCCCAAAAGAGATAAAATGGGGTTGAAAAAAAAGCGTAAAAAGCTAGTTTTCTTGGGTGATCAAGGTGAAAACCTTAGCTGCATTCTGATAACGAATCGAAATTTTTACCCTGTACAGACGAGGAATTCCTAGTTATATCTGCAGGAAAAATACCCAAAAAAAAAAAGAAACAATGGGAAGAAACTAAAAGACTCACATTTAGAACCCTTCAGCTTCAGGCTTCAACGGAGGGTTCAAAGAGAAAGGAGACGCAAGGGCAGGGGAAGAGAGCAGAGTTTTCCTTTTTTTTTTTCCCTATTTGTATATTTGGGAAAGAAAATAGTAGTGTATCCAACTTTTGAATAATTACTGTTTAGGTGCATGAGATTACAAATTTATGAATTATATTGCATAAGAACGGTTAGCAAATTTCCCAGAATAATGTGTTGATATTCGAAATCATCACAAATGTAGTGCTACGTAGGGTTTGTGTCCAAAATAAGGGTCGCCATAGCTGCCAATATCGACGCAAAATAAATTTGATTTATTTTTGAAATTTTTTTTAGCGGCTTATGAAGTTTTTAAGATAAGATTTTTGGTTGAATATTTTATTTTAACCTCAGATAGATCGTTGATTAACATTTGATCAACGGTCGTGATTTGAAGGTACAAAAAAAAAATAGTTTTAAATCTATTGGCGCACAAAATTTGCAGCGAAAGAAATTTTTTTTTAAACACTGCACATTAAATTTGCAGCGAAATTTGTGGACCGTTGATCAAATACGACTGGAAAATCACTGTAGATTCAATTTGCGGCAATTTGAAATTTTTTTTTTCAAATCGCATATCTAATTTGCGACAATTTATTTATTTATTTTTTTTTTGAAACTACACATCTGACGTGCAGGAATAGCTCTTGAAACCATACTATCCTATAATCTGTTTCGAGTGAAATCCCAGTACCTATAAATGCTAAAAGGTTCATGAAATATATTGAGGTTCAATGTGTGTTCCAAATCTTTACTTTAACATTGAGTGTTTTTACCTGTTTTCAACTCAGAAACAAATTAATCGTTTGGATTAACTGTTTTTTGGGATATTTTTGAAATATTTTACTGTAACAATGTATATGAAAATTTTTACTGTAGATGTTTTTAGTGATGTTTTTGGATGTGTTTTTGTGATATATTTTAGGGTATTTTTAAAGTTTAAAAATTTTTGGAATAATTTTTAAAAATTAATATTTCACCCACCACTATTATCCACTACCGCCACCATCCCTCTCTCCCTCCTCCGGTCTTCTCCCCGTCCCTCTTCCTCCCTTCCCTTTCTTTCCCCTTTCTCGTTACACCCCGCCCCTCCCCTTCCTTCCCCTCTCCAATCTAGTTGAGGCTAGAGGGAGGAGGTGGGGTATGGCGGGAAAGGGAAAGGGAAGAGGAGAGGAGGAAAGAGAGGGAGAAGGAAGAGGGAGAGAGAGAAATGAGGATGAAAGAGAGGGAGGAGGAAGATGGTGGATGAGGGTGATGGTGGTAGTGATAGATGGAAGAAGAAAATAGTGTAGATTTTATTTTTAAATTTTTTTGTATACTTGAAATTGTTTTTGATATATTGTATAGATATGTATTTTTTGAATTGTTTTTGCTTGTGCATTATTATAGTATTGTATACAAAAACTTGTCAAGTTTTTAAAAAATGGAGAAACCAAACAGAGCCAAAATGTTTCCCCAATTGACCGTATATGAGGCAAGTTAGCAGATTGCATATTAATGTGCACAAAAAAGAAAATCAACCAAGAAGAAAGGAAAACAGACATTCTGCAAGTAGCAAAAACAAGAAAAAAAAAACTCAGTACTAACCATAACCAAGAACTAATATTCCGGACATCCATTACTGAACACACGTTCAAGCAATAATATAAAATTATTTTAGAAATGAGTTGAATATACATTATTTATCGTTATTTGCATTAACATTTAAACCAAAAAATAAAACAATGGACGACTTAGGCATATTTTATTTTCAATTAATTTTGTATTTTCAACCAGAACCTTATCGAATTTTTATAGGATGATTAATCACCATTTATGAAATTAGCAGAATTTTTGTAGGTAAATTAAATTTTAGGCTTTTAGGGTTAGGGTTTATGTATTAGGGTTTAGGGATTAGGGTTCTAAGGTTTATGTAGTAGGGGTTTAGGGATTAAGGTTTTAGGGTTGGGTTTGCACAATTCCTTTTTAGGAATTAAAAAAAATTAAAGGATCGCAGTACCTCAAATCAGTGGCAATCCCTTTATATATATATATATATATATAAAGGCTTCCCCGCTCATTTGATGTGTGGCGAAGCCTTTTCACAAGAAAAAAATCCCTCCTTTTACTTTCTCAGCAAAAAAATTGAAATTTAAAATAATTTTTTAATGGAGCCACTTTTACCATTTGCGACAACCCTTAAACTAGAACCCAACACTACTTTTGTGATATTTTCTCATATTAATATTATTTTGAGAAATTCGCCAAGAATGTTCACATAGAAATCCACATATTTTTCTTCATAAAATAAAACGAGACTCAAAACGCGATTATGCTACCCTTACGGACCTATTTGGGGTTGCGGTAGTTTATTAAAAAATACTTAATTAGTAGAGTTTTTAATCAAATTACTTATTAAGTGCTTAATTATATGGTTTGGGTGCTTTTTCCATTTAATAATATGCAATTCTAAATTTCTAAAACATATTTATCTCTTTATTTAGTTCACAATTTATAATAAATTTGTTTAAATTAATTTTCATTTTTGGAACACAAAAGTAGCTCTAAAAGAACCAATTTTAAAACTATGCCAAAAGTGTTTTATTGACCAAAAACTCTACTTCTAAATTCAAGCAATAATGTTCACCAATCATGTTAAAAGTGTTTTTGTCTTCTAAAAACACTTTTTTAACAAAAGAACTGCAATTCCAAATAGGTCTAAGTGAATTTATACTATATCTTCAAACCTTTTCAATTTTCAATTAGTACAATATAAAGATTGATAATTTAAGGCTTTAATTGAGAATGAATTAAAGAAAGATGAGGGTTTCTTTCTCTGCATGTAAATTTCTTTTTTGATATTATAATGGAATCCATATCCATGTGGAGAACCATATATATATATATTAGGTTTGGCTAACGAGTACCTAAGCCTAATCGTTAAGAAGAGTCTTAGGTAGGGGTGCTAGCAAGTCAAGCTGCTCGCGAGCAGCTTGATCAAAAGCTTGACTCGAGCTCGAGCTCAGTAAAATCGAGCTCGAGTTTGAGCTCGAGCTACTCGTTAAATTTAACGAGTCGAGTTCGAGTTCAAGAAATAAGTACTTGAGTGCTCGCCGAGCTTAATCGAGCTTTCATATTTTATTTATATTATATATTTTTATTATATATTTTTTAAAAAAAATTATAGATTTATTTCAAAACTCGAGCTCGAGTTTTGAAATAAATCTATAATTTTTATTTTTTAGGTCGAGTAGCTCGGGCTTGATATTTACTCGAGCTCAAACAAGTCGAGATCGAGTTTAGTTTTATTTCATCGAGTCGAGCTCGAGTCCAAATTTTTTTACTCGATCGAGCTCGAGTAGCACAAATTTTGATCGAGCTCGAGCTCGAGTATGGTGCTACTCGAGTTCGACTCGGTTCGATAGCACCTCTAGTCTTATGTGTGAGTTTGTTGAAAAAATGTGGATAATTTTAAAAAAATGTTGAAAATTAGGTGGTGGTGTAATTATTATAATTGTGTATATTCGCATGATAAATGAAATGTAATTTAAGGATGCTAAAGGTGCCCACTAACATCAGTTAGACAAAAAAAATCCCTTTTTTTTGGCATTTCTATTTGCAAATAATTTTTTAATTACTTTGTTGAATTCAACTCATCCGCCGTAGCCGTCTGAACCCCTACCCAGGTGGTCACTTTATAGGTTTGATTTCCATGGAGGCACTTACAAATTGTGAATTACTAGGAAATACTTGTAATTCAATTGTTTTAATTTGGTAAAATATATTTGCTTACATCACCATTTCCTGATTGCTAACTTTTTCTTATACAGACAGCAATAAAATGTTAAGATTCTTTTCCTTATTATATAACTTGATATGTATCTGGTGCTAAAAGAATGTACAATTTAAAACATTTAAAAGACAAATTCAGTTCTTTAAAAAAGATTATCAACTCAATGGATTTTCTTAAATATTTTCAAGCTATTTCATCTATTTTCCATCTATTTTTATATTTTTTTACCTGAAATTGGGTGGAGGTTTTCTTCTATTTGTTTTATATCGATGGAATTTCTCATACAATTTTCAATTATGTGTTATTTTGTAAGTAAATTTG